AGCGAATCTACTTCAGTTCGATTCAAATACTATTGCAGATCAACTCTAATTGTGTTCGGTAGCACAAGTTCTTACTAAGTCAGCTGTATGTAAATTATTGTCAAATTTAGTAAGTAAGTAAGTTAGTTAGTTAGTTAGTTAGTTAGTTAGTTAGTTAGATAGTTAGTTAGTTAGTTAGTTAGTTAGTAGTTAGTTAGTTAGTTAGTTTAGTTAGTTGTTAGTTCGTTGTAGTTCGTTAGTTAGTTAGTTCGTTAGTTCGTTAGTTTCGTTCGTTTGTTCGTTCGTTAGTTCGTTCGTTCGTTCGTTCGTTCGTTCGTTTCGTTCGTTCGTTCGTTCGTTCGTTCGTTCTTGTTCGTTCGTTCGTTTTCGTTCGTTCGTTTTTTTCGTTCGTTCGTTCGTTCTTCGTTCGTTCGTTCTTCGTTCGTTCGTTCGTTCGTTCGTTTAGTTCGTTCGTTGTTCGTTCTTTCGTTCGTTCGTTCGTTTTCGTTCGTTCGTTCGTTCGTTCGTTCGTTCTTCGTTCGTTCGTTCGTTCTTGTTCGTTCGTTCGTTCGTTCGTTCGTTCTTTCGTTCGTTCGTTCGTTCGTTCGTTCGTTCGTTCGTTCGTTCGTTCGTTCGTTCGTTCGTTCGTTCGTTCGTTCGTTCGTTCGTTCGTTTCGTTCGTTCGTTCGTTCGTTCGTTCGTTCGTTCGTCGTTCGTCGTTCTTCGTTCTTCGTTCGTTCGTTCGTTCGTTCGTTAGTTCGTTCGTTCGTTCGTTCGTTCGTTCGTTCGTTCGTTAGTTCGGTCGTTCGTTCGTTCGTTCGCTTCGTTCGTTCGTTCGTTCGTTCGTTCGTTCGTTCGTTCGTTCGTTCGTCGTTCGTTCGTTAGTCGTTCGTTCGTTCGTTCGTTTCGTTTCGTTCGTTCGTTCGTTTCGTTCGTTCGTTCGTTCGTCGTTCGTTCGTTCGTTCGTTCGTTCGTTCGTTCGTTCGTTCGGTCGTTCGTCGGTCGTTCGTTCGTTCGTTCGTCGTTCGTTCGTTCGGTCGTTCGTTCGTTCGTTCGTTCGTTCGTTCGTTCGTTCGTTCGTCTGTTCGTTTCGTTCGTTCGTTCGTTCGTTCGTTCGTTCGTTCGTTCGTTCGTTCGTTCGTTCGTTCGTTCGTTCGTTCGTTCGTTCGTTCGTTCGTTCGTTCGTTCGTTCGTTCGTTCGTTCGTTCGTTCGTTCTTCGTTCGTTCGTTCGTTCGTTCGTTCTTGTTCGTTCGTTCGTTCGTTCGTTCGTTCGTTCGTTCGTTCGTTCGTTCGTTCGTTCGTTAGTTCGTTCGTTCGTTCGTTCGTTCTTCGTTCGTTCGTTCGTTCGTTCGTTCGTTTCGTTCGTTCGTTCGTTCGTTCGTTCGTTCGTTCGTTCGTTCGTTCGTTCGTTCGTTCGTTCGTTCGTTGTTCGTTCGTTCGTTGTTCGTTCGTTCGTTCGTTCGTTCGTTCGTTCGTTCGTTCGTTCGTTCGTTCGTTCGTTTTCGTTCGTTCGTTCGTTCGTTCGTTCGTTCGTTCGTTCGTTCGTTCGTTCGTTCGTTCGTTCGTTCGTTCGTTCGTTCGTTCGTTCGTTCGTTCTTCGTTCGTTCGTTCGTTCGTTTCGTTCGTTCGTTCGTTCGTTCGTTCGTTCGTTCGTTTCGTTCGTTCTCGTTCGTTCGTTCGTTTCGTTCGTTCGTTCGTTCGTTCGTTCGTTCGTTCGTTCGTTCGTTCGTTCGTTCGTTCCCCCGTTTCCCTTTCGCCCTGGCCCCCCGCTCCCCCCTCCTTTCCCGCCTTCTCCACCCCCTGCTCTTTCTAGTGCCTTTTCCATCCCTGCTCCCTGCCGTGTTTATTAAAACAGTCTAAAACATAAAATGAGTGTTAGTTTTGACATATTCACAAATAATTTTAATTTGCTAATTAGAAAAGTTAATAAAAGTAAGAATTATGTAAATTATGAAAATAACAATACCCTCCCCTATTACGGTGGTGTAGGGTATAATGAAAGAATGCATAAAAATATTCTGCTTAATAAACAAAGGCCTAAAAATTAACCTAAAAATAGGATAAAGGGGCACTGTCAGTTCATTAAGTTAAATGTCAAAGAAATAAAAATATTTTAACGCAATTTTGTCTTAAAAAAATGACTAGCCTTAATGTAGTTTTATTAAAATTAATTGCTCATATTCATACAATATTTTTTTTCTTAATTTCAGTCGCATTGCAACCACAGAATCAACCACTTGACATTGGTGTTATTATTAAATATTAGCTTTTTTAAAATTTTAAAAAAATATTATTTTACGGCAATATTAATTTACAAAAAAACTGCATTAATTTATGCAAGTTGAAATTAATTGATATCTATTTATTAATAGAAAACATAAAAAATTATTATTAAGATGAATTTTTTTTTAGTCTAGAGATCATAAAAGTGTTAATTTTTAATTAAATAAACTAACAAATTGAGAGCATATTAATTAGAACATGAAGAATATAAAATATTTAAAAATTTAATCATGACAACAAAACATCTCTGTTTTAATATTTTTAAAGTCTTTGTTCTTAGTTTATGTGCATTAAATGTCAAACTTGTTCTAAAAACATTAATATTTCATGTTTTGTCTGCCTTGGGGTTTTCTTCATGACAGTTTTCATTTTCCGTCTGTGTTCTGCCTTTCAGATTTAGATAATATTTTGAAAACTTCTAACAACTTAATTTATGAAAAAGACAAACGCTAGATGGCGTGAAATTAAGAAATTACAAATGCAAATATTATAATGTTTAACAAAATTAAAAATTAAGCCAAACGTAAATTAAAATAAGATTTTAAAGAGGATTTGAAGGCAGGTTTAGAAGGTTCTAAAAAGATTCTATGAAATTTTGTGTCAATTTTATTTCATTCCTGAATAAATTCTTATTCACTTTTGAGTGCTGAATCAATTAAGATTGAATTCTAATTTCATTCTAGATCAATTCTAATTCAGTTCTAGAGCAATTCTAATTCAGTTCTGAATCAATTATATCAATTCTAATAGCATTCCGCATCAATCCTAACTCAGTTTTTGATCAACTCTAATTCAGTTCGAAATTACTTCTGGATTAATCACAATTCAGTTCTGGATCAATTCTAATTAATTCCTGGATTAATTCTAGTTATGTTCTGAATGTATACGAATCAATTCTACTTTGGTTCTAGATAATTTTTCAATTAATTCCTGATCTATTCTAATTCATTTCAGAATCAATTCTTATTCGTTTCCTTCCTTTTACCTTCTTCATTGACCAAATTCTGTTTTCATATTTTTTTTAAATCTTTTTTTATGATTTAAAGTTCTACATGTTTTCACACATTAACATTTCTAAATACAAAAGTATTATTTACACCATAATTATTCCGAGTCATTACGTTCTTGACTAAATGAGCCAAACTACCAGTTTTTTTTTGTTTTCGTGTGATTAAGTTTAAGTTTTTTTTTTTTTTAATGAGTGTGACCAATTTGTTTACCGGTTTGAGTCAAGTAATCATAATATTTCTTTTAAATTTAATGCTTTTTTGTAGTCTTGTCATTTTATGTTTTATTTTTAATATACTGACAAAAGTTTTTTAATATAATTATGTTTTAAATTTAATGACCAATCTTTTAAAAAGTCAACAAAAAAACTGACGAAGGTGTCACACGGATGTCGTACAAGTGTGAGAATGTTTTGAAAATATTTTTGTGTAAATGTCGATGAAAAACAGAGAGGATCAGGCAAGAAAAAAGTTTGGTTATGTCCAGTTCAGTTCTAGTTCAGTTCTAGTTTTGTTCTAGTTTAGTTCTAGTTTAGTTCTAGTTTAGTTCTAGTTTAGTTCTAGTTTAGTTCTAGTTTAGTTCTAGTTTAGTTCTAGTTTAGTTCTAGTTTAGTTCTAGTTTAGTTCTAGTTTAGTTCTAGTTTAGTTCTAGTTTAGTTCTAGTTCAGTTCTAGTTCAGTTCTAGTTCAGTTCTAGTTCAGTTCTAGTTCAGTTTTAGTTCCGTTCTAGTTCTATTCTAGTTCTGTTCTAGTTCTGTTCTAGTTCTGTTCTAGTTCTGTTCTAGTTCTGTTCTAGTTCTGTTCTAGTTCTGTTCTAGTTCTGTTCTAGTTCTGTTCTAGTTCTGTTCTAGTTCTGTTCTAGTTCTGTTCTAGTTCTGTTCTAGTTCTGTTCTAGTTCTGTTCTAGTTCTGTTCTAGTTCTGTTCTAGTTCTGTTTCTAGTTCTGTTCTAGTTCTGTTCTAGTTCTTCTAGTTCTGTTCTAGTTCTGTTCTAGTTCTGTTCTAGTTCTGTTCTAGTTCTGTTCTAGTTCTGTTCTAGTTCTGTTCTAGTTCTGTTCTAGTTCTGTTCTAGTTCTGTTCTAGTTCTGTTCTAGTTCTGTTCTAGTTCTAGTTCTGTTCTGTTCTAGTTCTGTTCTAGTTCTTTCTAGTTCTGTTCTAGTTCTGTTCTAGTTCTGTTCTAGTTCTGTTAGTTTTAGTTCTGTTCTAGTTCTGTTCTAGTTCTGTTTCTAGTTCTGTTCTAGTTCTGTTCTAGTTCTGTTCTAGTTCTGTTTCAGTTATGTTCTAGTTATGTTCTAGTTCTGTTCTAGTTGTTCTAGTTTCTAGTTCTGTTCTAGTTCTGTTCTAGTTATGTTCTAGTTCTGTTCTAGTTCTGTTCTAGTTCTTTCTAGTTCTGTTCTAGTTCTGTTCTAGTTCTGTTCTAGTTCTGTTCTGTTCTGTTCTAGTTCTGTTCTAGTTCTGTTCTAGTTCTGTTCTAGTTCTGTTCTAGTTCTGTTCTAGTTCTGTTCTAGTTCTGTTCTAGTTCTGTTCTAGTTCTGTTCTAGTTCTGTTCTAGTTCTGTTCTAGTTCTGTTCTAGTTCTGTTCTAGTTCTGTTCTAGTTCTGTTCTAGTTCTGTTCTAGTTCTGTTCTAGTTCTGTTCTGTTCTGTTCTAGTTCTGTTCTAGTTCCGTTTTTTGTAATTCTAATGACAAAACTGCTTTTTTTCAATTAATTTAATTTATTTATAATAAATCAATTTAATTATGCCTAGTATTTTCGTCTATCCAATGCTTAACAAACACTAAATTAGTGAAAACCAATGGTTTATATTCGGAATCGCAGTCTAAATGCCACGACACTAAACCCCATAACTCTTCGTTCACAATCAGAGAACCAGCTTGATCGGGTATACATGAACCTTCTGGTATGCTAGTACAAATAAGTGCATTCTTTGCTGGAGGCATCTCAAAGTTATATTTCGTTGTAAAATTTAAACATAAATCCTGTGGCCACAGCTCGACCTCTGTATGATACAGCCCTGCACCCTCACCGAGTTCCCAATACACTAGAGTGCCTTTTGTACCAGCATCAAATGGATAACTTGATGTTGCTATTTCAATAGAGTTCACATTGGAGGCACTCAGATCGATTGGTTGCAGAAGTTTTATAAGAGCTACATCAAAATCTCTTGTATTGCGATCATAGAAGGGATGTATAACGGTAGCATCTATTTCATGGTCAATTGGTGAAGATTCATGATTGTTTACACCAGTAGTTACCAATAAATTTATCGGTCGTAAAATATCGATACAATGTGCTGCTGTTATAATTGTAAATTTTGAAATGATGGCACCACCACAAATATCGAGGCTATTTTCCTCTATTAACACTTCAAAGGGGAATTCTTCATCTTTAGCTAAATTAATGACGGCGCTGTTCAAGTTAAAATAAAAACTTGAAATTATGAGGAGAAATTGCAACATTGCAACTAGAATTTCAGCTTTGATTTGTAGCAAAATATTCGAAATATGAGTTAAAAGTGTGTTTAAATATGTAATAAACGATAAAAAATTAAATTTACCATTCAAATTGTAATTTACTTCGGGAAAAGTACAAATATAAATATTTATTTAAAATTATATACTAACCTTTTCGACATCACATTATTAATTCCATGATTCTAAGCTCCATAGCTCATTCACCTCACGATTGTGTCTACCCAAATCAATTTTAGTTCTACAGGTTCTAGTTAAATTTCAGTTCTAGATGATTTCTAGTACAGTTCTAGTTCAATTCTAGTTCAGTTCTAGTTCAGTTCTAGTTCAGTTCTAGTTCAGTTTCTAGTTCAGTTCTAGTTCAGTTCTAGTTCAGTTCTAGTTCAGTTTCTAGTTCAGTTCTAGTTCAGTTCTAGTTCAGTTCTAGTTCAGTTCTAGTTCAGTTCTAGTTTAGTTCTAGTTCAATTCTAGTTCAGTTCTTGTTCAGATCTAGTTCAGTTCTAGTTCAATTCTAGTCCAGTTCTAGTCCAGTTCTAGTTCAGTTCTAGTTCAGTTCTAGTTCTAGTTTAGTTCAGTTCTAGTTCAGTTCTAGTTCAGTTCTAGTTCAGTTCTAGTTCAGTTCTTGTTCAGTTCTAGTTCAGTTCTAGTTCAGTTCAGTTCTAGTTCAGTTCTAGTTCAGTTCTAGTTCAGTTCTAGTTCAGTTCTAGTTCAGTTCTAGTTCAGTTCTAGTTCAGTTCTAGTTCAGTTCTAGTTCAGTTCTAGTTCAGTTTAGTTCAGTTCTAGTTCAGTTCTAGTCAGATCTAGTTCAGTTCTAGTTCAGTTCTAGTTCAGTTCTAGTTCAGTTCTAGTTCAGTTCTAGTTCAGTTCTAGTTCAGTTCTAGTTCAGTTCTAGTTCAGTTCTAGTTCAGTTCTAGTTCAGTTCTAGTTCAGTTCAGTTCAGTTCTAGTTCAGTTCTAGTTCAGTTTCTAGTTCAGTTCTAGTTCAGTTCTAGTTCAGTTCTAGTTCAGTTCTAGTTCAGTTCTAGTTCAGTTCTAGTTCAGTTCTAGTTCAGTTCTACTTCAGTTCTAGTTCAGTTCTAGTTCAGTTCTAGTTCAGTTCTAGTTCAGTTCTAGTTCAGTTCTAGTTCAGTTCTAGTTCAGTTCTAGTTCAGTTCTAGTTCAGTTCTAGTTCAGTTCTAGTTCAGTTCTAGTTCAGTTCTAGTTCAGTTCTAGTTCAGTTCTAGTTCAGTTCTAGTTCAGTTCTAGTTCAGTTCTAGTTCAGTTCTAGTTCAGTTCTAGTTCAGTTCTAGTTCAGTTCTAGTTCAGTTCTAGTTCAGTTCTAGTTCAGTTCTAGTTCAGGTCTAGTTCAGTTCTAGTTCAGTTCTAGTTCAGTTTCTAGTTCAGTTCTAGTTCAGTTCTAGTTCAGTTCTAGTTCAGTTCTAGTTCAGTTTCTAGTTCAGTTTCTAGTTCTAGTTCAGTTCTAGATAAGTTCTGTTCTAATTCACTACTATTATTATAGTTCAATATCATCGGTTTTTTTTTTTTAATTTTAAGTGATAAAACTATGTTATTTTTATTTATTTTATTACTCCTACAATACGTTAATTTAATTATGCCTAGTATTATCATCTATCCATTGTTTAACAAACACTAGATTAGTGAAAACCAACGGTTTATATTCGGAATCACAGTCTAAATGCCAGGACACTAAACCCCAAAGCTGATCGTTTACAATCAAAGAACCAGCTTGATCGGGTATACACGAACCTTCTGGTATGCTAGTACAAATTATCGCATTACTTGCTGGAGGCATATCGCTATAATTTTCGGTGGCAAAATTTAAACAAATATCTTGTTGCCACAATTCGACCTCTGCATAATATAGCATTGAACCTTGACCTAGTTCCCAATAAACTAGAGTTCCTTTTGTACCAGCATCAAATGGATAACTTGATGTTGTAATTTCAATTAAGTCCACATTGGAGACACTCAGATCTAACGGTTGCAATAGTTTTATTAGAGCTACATCAAATTCTCTATTCCTTTCATTATATAAGGGATGTAAAGCAGTAGCATCTACTTCATGTTCAACTGGTGCAACTTCGAAATTGTGCCTCCCGGCAATTATCTTTAAATAATTCGATTCTAAGACATCGATACAATGTGCTGCTGTTATAATTGTATATTTCGAAATGATAGCACCACCACAAATATCGAGGCCCATCTGTCTCTATGACCACTTCAAAGGGAAATTGTTCATCCTCAGCAAAATTAATGGCGGCGCTATTCAGGTGAAAATAACTACTTGAAATTATGAGTGTTAGGAGAAATTGCAACATCTGACTTAACTTTTAAATTTGATTTGAAATAAAATATTCGAAATGTGGGTTTAAATATGTTATATTTTCTAGGAGTATAATAGGCGTTAAGACATTAATTTAACCATTGAAATTATAATTTATTTCGGATATAAAAAAAAATATATTTATCTAAAAATATATGCATATTAAAGCAAAAGTTTATAAACGGAAGCACATGCTAGATACCATGATTCCTAAAGACCCATAGTTCTTCGTTAACAATATAGTTTCCAAATTGATCGTTTATACATGATTCCGGTGCAAAGTAGTTACCTTTAAGTCTTCTGGTTCTATTTAATTAGATCAGTTCTAGTTCAGTTGTAATTCAGTTCTACTTCAGTTCTAATTCAGTTCTAGTTCAGGTTCTAATTCAGTTCTAGTTCAGTTCTAGTTCAGTTTCTAGTTCAGTCCTAGTTCATTTCTAGTCAGTTCTAGTTCAGTTCCAGTTCAGTTCTAGTTCAGTTCTAGTTCAGTTCTAGTTCATTCTAGTTCAGTTCTAGTTCGTTCTAGTTCAGTTTAGTTCAGTTCTAGTTCAGTTTCTAGTTCAGTTCTAGTTCAGTTCTAGTTCAGTTCTAGTTCAGCAGTTCTAGTTCAGTTCTAGTTCAGTTCTAGTTCAGTTCTAGTTCAGAGTTCTAGTTCAGTTCTAGTTCAGTTCTAGTTCAGTTCTAGTTCAGTTCTAGTTCAGTTCTAGTTCAGTTCTAGTTTCAGAGTTCTAGTTCAGTTCTAGTTCAGTTCTAGTGCATTCAGTTCAGTTCTAGTTCAGTTCTAGTTCAGTTCTAGTTCAGTTCTAGTTCAGTTTCTAGTTCAGTTCTAGTTCAGTTCTAGTTCAGCAGTGTCTAGTTCAGTTCTAGTTCAGTTCTAGTTCAGTTCTAGTTCAGTTTCTAGTTCAGTTCTAGTTCAGTTTCTAGTTCAGTTCTAGTTCAGTTCTAGTTCAGTTTCTAGTTCAGTTCTAGTTCAGTTCTAGTTCAATTCTAGTTCAATTCTAGTTCAGTTCTAGTTCAGTTCTAGTTCCGTTCTAGTTTCAGATCTAGTTCAGTTCTACTTCAGTTCTAGTTCAGGTCTAGATCAGTTTTAGTTCAGGTCTAGATCAGTTCTAGTTCAGGTCTAGATCAGTTCTAGTTCAGTTTTGTTCGGCGCTCTAACCTTGATTCTTGTTCAGTTTAGTTCTATTACAGTTTAGTTCTCCCTTTATTATGTTTCAATTTCAGATCAATTATACTACATACATAACCAATCAATTTTATTACAGTTCTTATTCAACTATTGTTCAGATTTGATTCTTATCTTAAATACTACCGCATTTACATATTAGTTTAAATAAATTATCATCTATCCACTCTTTGACAAATGCTAAGTTCGTCATAATCAAAGGTTTATCTTTAGAATCACATTCAAAATTCATCGACACTATACCCCACAGCTCCTTGTCCACAATCAAAGAACCAGCATCATCTCCTATACACAGTCCGGCTGGTATACCAGCACAAATTACTGCTAGACTGGATGGAGGCAGGTCGTTATCATAAAGGTCTACGGCAAAATCACCAAGTGCATTTGCTGGCGTACATCTCTTTTTCGGCCCACAGCTCGGTCTGGGTATATAAAAGACTAGAACCGTTTTCAATTTCCCAATAAACAAGCGTACCCAGTTTACCACCATAATAAACATGACTGTCGATGAAATTGGAATGATGCCTACATTGGTATTTAGTTCTAAGGCTTCTTTAAGTTTAACTAGAGCCACATCATAATCTCTTGTTGTCGGCTCATATTCAGGATGTATTTTAGTGGTAGCAACTTCATGTATATGTCCACGTGGAAATATTAAAAAATTGTGTACACCAACAAAAACTTGTAAATCATTAGGTTCTATGTAATTAAACAATGTGCTGCTGTGACAATAGCATGTGTTGAAATGATAGCACCCGCCACATATATCCTGATACTTATAGGCAATGGACACTTCAAAGGGAAATTGTCCTTCTTCAAGCTAACATATCGGCTGTGTTGAGATGAATGTAGCAACACGAGATTAAAAACTGTTAATAATAGATGCAGCATTGAGGAAAATTTATGTATTTGTGTTTAAAAAAGTAATATTTTAACACAATTGTTTTTAAGTGTTATAATTATTTTTCTTTTATATCAAAATATATGTAAGAGACGCTGTCAATTAATTTAAGCGTTAAAATTAAAATTAAATAGAACTCAACTAGATCTGAACTACAAATGAACGAGAACTCAACTATGACTGAAATTAACTACAATTGAAGTAGAACTGAACTAGAACTGAACTAGAACTGAACTAGAACTGAACTAGAACTGAACTAGAACTGAACTAGAACTGAACTTGAACTGAACTAGAACTGAACTAGAACTGAACTAGAACTGAACTAGAACTAGAACTGAACTAGAACTGAACTAGAACTGAACTAGATCTAAACTAGAACTGAACTAGAACTGAACTGAACTAAAACTAGAACTGAACTAGAACTGAACTAGAACTGAACTAGAACTGAACTAGAACTGAACTAGAACTGAACTAGAACTGAACTAGAACTGAACTAGAACTGAACTAGAACTGAACTAGAACTGAACTAGAACTGAACTAGAACTGAACTTGAACTAAACTAGAACTGAACTAGAACTGAACTAGAACTGAACTAGAACTGAACTAGAACTGAACTAGAACTAGAACTAGAACTGAACTACAACTGAACTAGAACTGAACTGAACTAGAACTGAACTAGAACTGAACTAGAACTGAACTAGAACTGAACTAGAACTGAACTAGAACTGAACTAGAACTGAACTAGAACTGAACTAGAACTGAACTAGAACTGAACTAGAACTGAACTAGAACTGAACTAGAACTGAACCAAAACTGAACTAGAACTGAACTAAAACTGAACTAGAACTGAACTAGAACTGAACTAGAACTGAACTAGAACTGAACTAGAACTGAACTAGAACTGAACTAGAACTGAACTAGAACTGAACTAGAACTGAACTAGAACTGAACTAGAACTGAACTAGAACTGAACTAGAACTGAACTAGAACTGAACTAGAACTGAACTAGAACTGAACTAGAACTGAACTAGAACTGAACTAGAACTGAACTAGAACTGAACTAGAACTGAACTAGAACTGAACTAGAACTGAACTAGAACTGAACTAGAACTGAACTAGAACTGAACTAGAACTGAACTAGAACTGAACTAGAACTGAACTAGAACTGAACTAGAACTGAACTAGAACTGAACTAGAACTGAACTAGAACTGAACTAACTGAACTAGAACTGAACTAGAACTGAACTAGAACTGAACTAGAACTGAACTAGAACTGAACTAGAACTGAACTAGAACTGAACTAGAACTGAACTAGAACTGAACTAGAACTAGAACTGAACTAGAACTGAACTAGAACTGAACTAGAACTGAACTATAACTGAACTAGAACTGAACTAGAACTGAACAGAACTGAACTAGAACTGAACTAGAACTGAACTAGAACTGAACTAGAACTGAACTAGAACTGAACTAGAACTGAACTAGAACCGAACTAGAACTGAACTAGAATGGAACTAGAATGAACTAGAACTGAACTAGAACTGAACTAGAAAGAACTAGAACTGAACTAGAACTGAACTAGAACTGAACTAGAACTGAACTAGAACTGAACTAGAACTGAACTAGAACTGAACTAGAACCGAACTAGAACTGAACTAGAACTGAACTAGAACTGAACTAGAACTGAACTAGAACTGAACTAGAACTGAACTAGAACTGAACTAGAACTGAACTAGAACTAAACTAGAACTGAACTAGAACTGAACTAGAACTGAACTAGAACTGAACTAGAACTGAACTAGAACTGAACTAGAACTGAACTAGAACTGAACTAGAACTGAACTAGAACTGAACTAGAACTGAACTAGAACTGAACTAGAACTGAACTAGAACTGAACTAGAACTGAACTAGAACTGAACTAGAACTGAACTAGAACTGAACTAGAACTGAACTAGAACTGAACTAGAACTGAACTAGAACTGAACTAGAACTGAACTAGAACTGAACTATAACTGAACTAGAACTGAACTAGAACTGAACAGAACTGAACTAGAACTGAACTAGAACTGAACTAGAACTGAACTAGAACTGAACTAGAACCGAACTAGAACTGAACTAGAACCGAACTAGAACTGAACTAGAATGGAACTAGAATGGAACTAGAACTGAACTAGAACTGAACTAGAACTGAACTAGAACTGAACTAGAACTGAACTAGAACTGAACTAGAACTGAACTAGAACTGAACTAGAACTGAACTAGAACCGAACTAGAACTGAACTAGAACTGAACTAGAACTGAACTAGAACTGAACTAGAACTGAACTAGAACTGAACTAGAACTGAACTAGAACTGAACTAGAACTAAACTAGAACTGAACTAGAACTGAACTAGAACTGAACTAGAACTGAACTAGAACTGAACTAGAACTGAACTAGAACTGAACTAGAACTGAACTAGAACTGAACTAGAACTGAACTAGAACTGAACTAGAACTGAACTAGAACTGAACTAGAACTGAACTAGAACTGAACTAGAACTGAACTAGAACTGAACTAGAACTGAACTAGAACTGAACTAGAACTGAACTAGAACTGAACTAGAACTGAACTAGAACTGAACTAGAACTGAACTAGAACTGAACTAGAACTGAACTAGAACTGAACTATAACTGAACTAGAACTGAACTAGAACTGAACAGAACTGAACTAGAACTGAACTAGAACTGAACTAGAACTGAACTAGAACTGAACTAGAACTGAACTAGAACTGAACTAGAACCGAACTAGAAC